ACTCTGAGAGGACAATCATGAGGGAGCCACTTAATTCATGGGTCCTCAGGGGGTCTTCCCCCTTGGTGGTGCATCCACCAGCCAATAGTCTTCTGTCCCCAGTTCACAGTCATGTCATAAATTCTACAAAAGCGGCACATCAGGGCTTGGATCTCAGCCATGTTTTGTGATGTTGCCTCAACCAGGATGGTGAGGTCGTCGGCAAACAAGAGCAAATGGGCACTGCTTCTTCAGGGATATCTGTAATCTTTATTCGGGTGTGGTCTTTGTTGTGTCTCAGGTTAGCCGATAGTGCCTCCATTATGACCAAAAAAAGGAACGGGGCAATGGGATCTCCTTGCCTAACCGAACGTTGAAGCATAAAGGGGGGTACCACCGATCCATTAACCTGAACACACGTGGTAGCATTTTTATGCAGGATTTTGACCCAACGTCGGAAGATCGGACCAAAGTTCATCTTATCTAAACATTTGTCCAGGAACTCCCAATCTACATGGTCGTAGGCCTTCTCAAAGTCAATGAAAATAATGGCCGCGTTTGCCTGGCATCGCCGAGCGAGACATACCACCTCATTTACCAACATAATATTTTCCTGAATATTCCTGTCAGCCATGAATCCTGATTGGGCCAGATGAATTACATCCTCTAGGACATCCGCCATACGATTAGCCAGGGCTTTAGAAAGCATTTTATATACTACTGTGAGGAGAGTAATGGGTCTATAATTCCTAATGTTCATTTTGTCCCCTTTTTTGTAGAGTAACGACAATACACCTTTCCCCACCACTTCTCCCATCTCTCCCTCCGCCCAAACCTTTTGATAGAACTCCCACAGGTTTGAGCCTAGATCCGACCACATCGCTTCCCAGAATTCCTTGGGGAATCCATCAATGCCCGGTGTCTTCTCCTCCCTCATCTGGAGAAGGGCTGCCCACACTTCATCCTTAGATAGAGACCGCTCCAGGTGGTCTCGATGTCAGGGGGAGAGGTGTTTGTCCATGGGGGACAGGAAATCCTCCACCTCGCTTGCCCATGCCTCCTCACGTGGGGAGGGGATTTGGGATGTGTATAGTTGTTAAAAAAAATTCTAGTGATAAGCGCGCAATGGGCTGTGCTAGTTGCGATGATCTCATCTCCACTGCCGGGGTCAAAAAGCGCCTCAATTATAGTCCGCCTTGCGCGGGCTGTAGCCATACTAAAAAATTGAGTATCCATTGTGGCTTCCTGAGTAAACTTAGATAATTTCCCTCGTATTCGGATACCTTGCCACCTGTGTTGAGCATATTGAAGGAGCTGGTCCTTAACTTTTTGGATGTGCGTTGTGGAAGGATCTGATTCTTCATGTGTGGTAAACTAATGTAGTTGCCTCAGTGTCCCCTTAACCTTGGAGAGGTCTTTACATTTTCGTGCCAGAAAAAGCAGACCATTGTTAAACCATGTGATGGCTGAATCAAACCGAGTTTTCTGCAAGTGCCAATACTGCCACTCGTGTCAGATCATATCACAAAATTGTTGGTCTTTTAAAGCGAAGTGTTAAGCTTGTAAAAGTCGGGTCCTTGATCCGGCCTCTTTCTCTGTTAGTATTAACCCACATGTCTTATGGTCCAGTCCTGGATGCGGGCTGCATGGGAGAATAGAAGCCCATCGCAGGGCGCCTTCGAGGTCATTCGAGAGCAGAATAAGGTCAATTCGGGACTTGGATAGCTGGGCTGGGTCGTTGTCTCTCACACATGTGAAGGTTCGGTCCTCGGGGTGTAGGCGACGGAAGGTGTCGAACAGTGTGAGGGATTCATTGAGGTCTGCGATCATTTGTTCGTCCTCGGCGGCGGCGACGGTGGGGAGCCCTTGGGGATTCCATTTGTCTCGTCCCCTATCGGGGGCGACATTAAAATCTCCCGCAATGACCAACGGGATGCCATTGGGCACTTGTGCACCTAGATTGCCCAAAAAAATTATCCTCTCGCTCACTGTGTTAGGGGCATAGATGCATAGGATGCAAAGGAGTTCTAACTCCAGCATCCCCAGTACCGATACCCACCGTCCTTCTTCCTCATCTACCACCCAGTGGACCATCTGGAATCTAGAATCAGGAGGGATCCAAATCGCTACTCCTGTCGACCCGGGTTTGGGAGCGTGGGCCCGTATAGCCGAGTGAGGCTAAACTTTCCTGTGGGCCCAATTGTGTTTCGGCTGGTCTTGTAGATGGTTTCCTGGACGCAGATCACATCCGGCCACCGCCTCCCTCCAACGCCTCTGAGTTGATCCCATAAGGCCTGACACTTCTCCGGGGTACATGTCGCCAGGCCATTCACAATTATAGAGCGGAGATTGAGGTCAGCCGTCTTAACACATTGTTGCCAGGCCGGGTTCCTACAGTATAGAGTTTCCAGGTCGGCCATAGACAACACTTACCCAGAGGGGGTGCCACTATCTGACATCCCATCTGTCCAGGTTCAGGACCTTCTTCCGCAGGATCGTACTCAGACACTTACACACATCATCGGCGGACCAGCAGGGACTGGCTTTTACCTTCGCACATTGCAGATCAAGAAGTGCGTTGTGGCTGAACCATCTCAGGTAGCGGTTTTGTTAAGTTCAACTAGTAAATACAGGTCGTTCGACGCCATCTGTTGATCACAATTTTCAAACCCCATTCCTGCCCTAGCCCCAGATGCGTAGTGTTTAGGGATGAAGGCTGACATCAGGTTTGTGAAGGCTACATCCCTTTCTCTTATATTTTTGAAGTGCGCCGGAAAGTCCCACCCATACAAAGTCACCCCCCCGTGATCCCCCACCGGGGATAGACCGATCTCCCATTTCCCCTCCATTTTCCTTAATGGGATCACCAACACCCCATCTGCTTTGCCCAGGGGTAACTCAAAAAGACCACGTTCTATAGGTTGTCGTAGCTTTAATCGCTTAGAGGTCATCCCCTCCTCTACTGTATCTCCTCCGGGAGGGGGATGATGCTCATGCCCTAGGCCTGGTGCCTCACTCACGATATCCTCGTCAGAGAAGCTTTACAGGAGCTAAAAGCCTAAAACAAAATTCTCTTTATTATTCAACAAAAATCTAGGCTACCAGACAGACCGAGGACCACTTGCCCATCCAGGCCAAAATAATGAAAAATAAAAAATGTGGTAAAGAATTTCAATGTGACCCTGAGGCAAAAGTTGATCTTCCCTGGCCCTTGCCCTGCCCATCATTTTTTTTTTCTGCATCAATGATCACATAGGCTTTGTTTTTTTTGGGGGAACTTTTTTTTTTTTTCTTTTTTTTTTTGCAGGGATCTTCCCTGGCCCTTGCCCTGCCAGGCTGCCCGGCCAACCAAGAAGGTGTTGGATGAGACTCAAAAACGGCCAAAATAGCGCGTTGTGCCGACTCATGCCTCGCTGGATGGTAAGAATCACATGCTTCAAAAAAGAAAAAAGAAAAAAAAAAAGCAAAGAAAAGAAAAAGAACCACATGCTTCGACCAACTCAGCACACATCGGCAGTAGATTAATAAACAGCAAATTCCAAGTGGTGTTGGGCGAGGCCCTAAGAGAGATTAACAGTAGAGGAGGAATAAAGCAGGGTGGGAGATGAGGAGAATACACAGAGGTAGCGCAAAATAGTTTTGCTTAAAAAAAAATAGTCACAATGAGTAGAAGCCAAAAACTGGCGATGCTCCCTGCATGTTTCGGCCGCATCGCCTGCACGGCCATCATCAGTAATAAACCAAGGTGGCCCGGTTGGTAGACCAGGCTGAAAACAAAAAAAAAAAAAAACAAAAAAAAAAGGAAAAAAAAGGAAAAAAAAAAGACTATCTTATTGGTGGGGGGCTGTCAGCTGCTGGAAAACAGGCGCAGCATCCCTTTATAAACCATCATATCCAAAAGTTACGACCACCCACCAATCAAACCAGGAAGAGCTGTCTAGACCGCGCAGCATTAATTTTATTTTTTTAACCATTAAAACTCAAAATGAATTTGTTAAGCTTATCCCCATAGATTGCTCGTGCCTAAATATATGACTTCAAATTTAAAAATTAAAACCCATGCAATAGTGATTGCTCCCTGTTGTAGGAGACTAGGAGGACTCACAGTCAGAGTTGAGAGTATTAAGAAGTAACATATGACGGGTCAGAAGGGGTATTTGAACCACAGCTCAATGACATGTAATAATTGTGCCTTCATCATTTTGCTTTGTATGCTCGTGTTGCTCTTTCTTTATTCTTTGATCTTTTCCTTCTTTTTTTTCTCTTTCAATCTGTCATTTTTTTAATTTGTCAATTAAGCTCAGACTTCGGAGTCTGTTTTAGGCCATTCTTTATTACGGTTCGATTCCTTTTTTTTGTTTTTCAAGTCTGTCTGAGTTTATGCGAGCGGTCCGTATGAGGTCACCTACAACATTTGTTATGTCTGTGGGCATAGCCCGCACCGCCCTCACCACGGGCGGGCGCTTAGCTAGTATGACTTAAAAAAGTTAAAATTTAAAACCCATGCAATATTGATTGCTCCCTGTTGTAGGAGGATTCACGGTCGGAGGTGAGAGTATTAAGAAGTAAGATATGAAGGGGTCAGAAGGGGTATTGTATTTGAACCCCAGCTCAATGACACTTTTCCAGAGTCTCCTTCTTTTTTTTTTTTTTTTTCTTTTCTTTTTTTTTCTTTTTTTCGCTTAGTGAGGAGAGTTGTCCCGATGGTAGGACAATGACCACCAATTTCACCAAACCATAGGTTGGGTTTTCAGACCCCTTTTGTCCTGTCATGTTATCTCATCAATGTTCATCAAATGCATACCAGCAGTTTGTGAAAAAAGAAACTGAAAGTACATCAGGATGAGGAGAATTGTCCCAATGGCAAGACAATGACCACCAATTTCACCAAACCATAGGTTGGGTTTTGAGACCCCTTTTATGAAGTTTTATCCTGTCATGTTACCTCATCAATGTTCATCAAATGCATACCAACAGTTTGTGCAAAAAGAAACTGAAAGTACAACATCGTGATGACTCACCCATGTTTTGCCAGTGTGGCCCTATGATGCACATCAGGGGCTTCTGAGGCAGGAGTCTCTGGAGAAGAAGGCCAAACATTGCAACATTTAAGAAATCACTCAGCTTTATAAACTTACTTCATCAAGTTATGAAGTTATAGTACGGTTATACTGTTTGTATTAACTTTGTAACTATTTGATAAGTTTTGTACCATGCTTGCCATCGCACAAGCCGCACGGCCGTGTGGTGAAGTATGCAGCACGATGTGCGGAATCTGCCCGTCCGCACCAGTAATAATCTCTGTTTTTTTTTTGTTTTTTTTTTTTGTTGTTGTTGTTGTTGTTGTTGTTGTTGTTGTTGTTGTTGTTTTTGTAGATACAGAAGAGTGTACTACCTAAGGAACAGATCCTGTTTAAGTACAGTCGTACAAATCTTTCTTTTTGTCTCATTGGGCTTCATAAAGAGCCTCAAATAGGTCTTTGGGGCATTAGTCTTGAGTCTCTTGACTCTTGAGAGTCTGTTGAGACTCTTGACCGTTAAGTGGTGAAAATTGCTCTTCCATTGTACATAGGAAAATCACAGCAGACAGAATGGTCGAGCGGCAGTGAAGGGTAGTCAACGTGTCCAGAATGATATCGAATAACTTTGATGTAGAAAGTAGTGGAAGAATCTAGACACTTAGTATTTACTATTTAGTGTTTACTAGTATTCTGTGCCTTCACAGTTCAAATCAATAGCAAATAATAAAAATATCAAATAGAAAAGACACAGTGCCTGCACTGGGGAAGGGAAGCGCATCATGTCCCGTATGATTCTATGACGGGGAAGACGGTAGGAACAGAGAGCTGGAGCCGTGTGAAAGGCCCCGAAATGTGTGAGGCATTACGAGATGCAGAAAAATGCTGCAGCACTACGATCCTTACCCTGGCTCTCTCTCTCTCTCTCTCTCTCTCTCTCTCTCTCTCTCTCTCTCTCTCTCTCTCTCTCTCTCTCTCTCTCTCTCTCTTGCGTGCGTGTGTGTGTGCGAGTGCGCACACACAGTTTTTCACACAGGTACAAAACAAAATGCAACCAAGACAAAAAAAAAAAAAAAAGCAACCAAGACCATACGGTTTTTGTGAGAAAAAAAAAAGAAAAAAAAAGAAATCCAGACATCCTTTGTTCCATAGGTGTTCGAATTCCAAGATAACCACTTCTTAGCCAGCAACCTCACATCAATTTTAGAGTCGACAGCATTCCCATGTCGCGAATTCGACTCCCAAAGGAAGACTTCACCTGGAAAGCAAGGGGTTGGGGGATTCTAGTCATTAACCAGACACCCTCCCAAGCCTTCCCATTTGTCCCAAAAAAAAGGGGGTTGTGGCATTCCAGTCATTGACCCGACACCCTCCCAAGCCTTCCCATTTGTCCCCAAAAAAAAACAGGGAATAGGGAAAGGGGACCACTGAGCGAAGTTCGTCTCATACCCTGTCACCAGGGGAATGCCAAGAATGCGAAATAAACAAAACTGGCTTGGAGAAGTTTTTAGTACTTTTTGCCCTGAGAGAAAAGTGAGGGTCTGTCAATCCAAGGTCTGAAGAAATCATGTACTCCTCAAGACTATCAAGGATCTATAATGATTGCTTATGATTCCATATAAAACATTATAAATATAAATATGACCCCGGGGAATGGCGGTAGACAGCAGAGGAGGCAAAATGATCCCACTCAATTGCTGATTACGCAGTCAAGTTCGGACATTATCGGGGGCTGAGAACTGAGGACCCGGCTCCCGCCATAAATGAGAAATGGGGCAAACATAACTGCAACTGTACGTCCCCCCCAGAGAGTCAGGGCGACTCTGCTCGGGTAACATAGCCAGAGACCCGATTAAAATTCCCTGGAAGAAATGAATCCAAATCAAGCCAACAAAAAGATACACAGCTCCACAAAAAAAAAAAAAAAAAAAAAAAAGATACACAGCATGCAATGGTTGATCCCTTATGCAGCTCTCCCAGTAACCCAATGGCTCCACAAATGCAAGAAAAGAAGAAAAAAAAAAAAACAGACCCCAATGGTGCGCACCCTTTTTTCTGCAAAATGTGCTCAAATAACACGGAAGACGACACTATGGTACACTGTCTGGTACAATGCCAGGGCGCTATCTGAGGGCATACTCATACTTGGACTTTTTCACTTATTTATGGACGTAATAGCGGCCAGATACATCCATATCCGCCCATAACGAGATCAGATACTCTTAACATAGAGCTAGTTGGAGTACCCCCTGAGTCTGGTCTAGACTAACAAAACTCTGGTTCTCCAGTGACTCCAGTTCACTATCAATCATCCTCAGGCTGGCCATCCAACAGGTGATGCTCCCCACCAATAGATGGAGGGTTTACTAAACAAAAAAAAAAAAAGAAAAGGCTGGCCATCCAGATCCCCCCACAATTTAAAGCCTCTACTCTTGCGAGACCCGACGAAGGCCCCTGCTACCTGTTGCCGAGAGAAGTTACTCTCTGGGTCATCTAGATATGAAGTATTATGAACGTGTTTCCATGCACATTCACTGACGCTTCACGCCTAGCTGTCAAACTATTGACAGCGTAGGCTAAGATCAAGTGTAGTTTCTGTTCTGCTCAGTTTAATATATGGTCCGTGGTCCATCGGGCCACATAAAAATAAAATAAAAAAGAGAAAAGGAGCAGGTGTGGGCATGGGCGACCCACATTCAGTTAGTCGATAAGGAGATCAGAAGCAGATGGCCGAAGACGAAGACCACAGGACTGCAGTCTATTTGATTGGCCAAAGACGAAGACCACAGGACAGCGTGGCGCGATCAAAGTGGGCTTTAAAAAGAAGAAGATCATGAAAGAATGGCTACTGAATGGGAAGATGACAGCAGTGGAGAGGACAACAGGCTGCAATGGAAAAATGGGACCCCACGTGACATCTTGCGGCGCTGAGGAGGAGCTAGACAAGAGCACGTGGTATCTGATAGCCTTGACTGCAGTCCAGCCTTCTAGTAGACAGCCAAGGCCTTCAAAAAAAAAACGACTGCAGCAGTCCAGCCTGAGAGATTCCATGGGGACGGCAAGCTGACAGTTAATACTCCTGAAGGAGCAATCGATGCCGATCAAGGGTCCTTCGGCCAAACGGAAGGAAGCATGGTTTTGTTATCCTAAGCGTATTCCTTTGGACTTGCCGGGCAAATAGGATCCGGACGGACACCGCCATAATGGACAGGAGGCAGGCGCTTAAGAAATTGCTGGTTTTTTTTTTTTTTTTTTTACCACCAGTACCTCCAAGGCTCCTTTTGCCGATATCGGAAAAGAATTGTGCCCCAAGCTCTGCCGAAGCGCCAGCGCAATGTTTTTTTTTTTTGTTTCGGCCGGTGCCGCCAGACGTTCTGGTCTGGTGGCGCCTGGCCTCCGAAGAATGCGGTGTAGGTTATACCGCATTCTTAGGAGTTTTCGAGTTTGCCTGTGAAAAGGTAATGGCGGTTTAGAAAAAAGGAAGAAAAGTTAGACAATCCATGCATCAATAACAACACACAGATGCGAGCACATTATGGAGATGCACTTGAGAAATGATGCATCTACTTACTTGGTGTTGGCGGCACTTCTCCTGAGCCTTCTGAATTGCCAACCAGCAAGGGCATACCTTGCTATCCAACCCCAGTTAAGAGAGAGTGTTTTGGTGAGACAGGCAGTGAAACAACGAACAGCAATGCAGTTCATAATCAAGGTGAGGTGAACTAGCAGTAAGGCAAACAAAGTTAACAAACAGCATTCCAGTTTCAACTGAAGGTAAGATTTTTTTTTTTTCATATCGACGGTAAGGGAGAACCATAATTGAAAGGATTCATGCACTGCCGCAGTACTGCCCCGGTACCTGTCCCCTTTTATTTGTGCAATAGGGCTGAAGTAGTACTTTCCGGTAAGTACTGTACAGGACAAAATAGAGATCCAATAGGGTAAGACTGGTAGGAACAGTTGAGGTCCCTAGTGGGAAGTGGGTAGGGAGCCGCCACGTGTCCGGTCCCAGTCCCATTGTAGCTCAGTCCCAGGCCGAGCCCAAAGCAGACCGAATCTCCGTTGACCGCGCCAGGGCCTGGCAGGAGACGGTCATGACTCACGTGGGAGGAGCCAAGCAGATGCACAAAGGCAGTGCAGCACCAGGATCTGCGTCTTCTTCGGTCATATGCGGAAGCCCTGATGCGTTGCTGGGCACCAAGATCTTGGAGCGTGAACAGTGCCGGGCATGAGATTAGTCAACGGCACTTGCAACCATAGCCGTGAGCTTGCATAGATAGATAGATAGAGAGAGAGAGAACAGCAAGGACATTCAGAGAGAGAGAGCAGCAAGGAAGCAAGGACATTCAGAGAGAGGTCATAGGACCTAGGCGCAGTACTCAAGAGTAGTCAGTAGTAGAGAGAGAGAGAGAGAGAGAGAGAGAGAGAGAGAGAGAGAGAGAGAGAGAGAGAGAGAGAGAGAGAGAGAGAGAGAGAGA